CCCCGTCTCAATTTGCTCAGATCTTGTCCCTTTCCCCTTCTCTGGGGGACCATGTAGCTATGAATGTGATCTTATTAAGATATACTGTATTCTTCCCCACAGTAAGGGGAAGAACAGAAGAAAATAAGATAAAAGATATCATAATAGAGGGTTTTAAAGAGAAATCAGGCACTAGGGAAATGTCTGGAGATCTACAAAGATGATAGCAACCAACAATCTAAGCAACAGAGGAGAGGCTACCTTAAATGTCCTCCCCTGATAATGAGATTGATGACTGACTTATATGCCATCCTATAGCCTTCATCCAGCAGTTGGTGGAAGTAGAAGCAGACACCTACAGCTAATCACTGAACTGGAATCCAGTTGCAGAGAAGGATGAGTGATGAGCAAAGGGGTCCAGACCAGGCTGGTGAAACCCACAGAAACAGCTGACCTGAACAATGGGGAGCTCCTAATACCCAGACTGATGGCTGGGAAACCAGCATGGGAGTGATCCAGATCCCAGGAACATGGGTGTCAGTGAGGAGACATCAGAAATCCATGGGGTCTCCTGTAGTAGATCAGTACTTATCCCTAGCATAGTTGTGGACTTTGGGAGCCCATTCCACATAGAGGGATACTCCCTGAGCCAAGACACACGGGAGTGGGCCTAGGCCCTATACCAAAGGATATGACAGACTCTCAAGACCACCTATGGAAGGCCTCACCCTCCCTGGGGAGCAGAAATGGTATGTGCTAGGTAAGGTTTTAGTTGGGGAGGGGGTGGTAGGGAAGGAGGGGAGGGAAAGGGAACTGGGATTGATATGTAAAACAATCTTGTTTCTAATTCAAATAAATAAATGGAAAAAAAAGATACACTGTAGCTTTTGCAGATGTAGTCAAGTTTCTTCCTGCATTAGTTGTAGCCCCCTGAGTCAGTAGTGCCTATAAGAAAAGAAGAAGTGGGTTGCAGAGACAGATCAGTAAGGTTCCAGATGCACAAACACAACATGGAACATGAATTAGGATATCCATCGTCCATGTAGATACTGGGTGTGGAGCTGTCAGTACACGTGACTGGGGTAAAGTAAATTTTACTTTACAGTGGCAGGTAAATTTCTGGCACTCATTGTCCAGGTAGCCTATCAATATCACCAAGTTCAAAGTTCAGTGGGAGACAGTTTTTCAAAACATAAGATGGATATTGATCAAGGAAAACATCCAAGATTGAGCTCTGATCTCCACATACATTGCTTACATGAACACTCATGTGCACACATCTATGTCTGATCTCCACATACATTGCTTACATGAACACTCATGTGCACACATCTATATAAACAGACACACACAGACACAGACAGACACACACACACACACACACACACACACACATGCACACAAACAAAATCTTCCTGATTACTGCATTTGGAGTCCCCAGCTTACAGAAATGTGAGAGAACAGTTTTTGCAATTTTAAGTCACTAAGTTTGTGGTAGTTTCTTACAATGACCTGGGAAACTCTAGATTTCTCTAATCATTTTGACCTATATATGGAATATTCTTTCAAATAATAGTGGTTAATATAAAATTCATCAGTACAACAGACATAAGATGTAAAAAAGTTATTATTTACAAGTTATTAGAAAAACCATTGTTTATCACCTCACAAAAGTAGAGTAATGATATCATCATCTCTTGACTGAATTATATGTTAGGCAAATGTTAAGTACTTAATTTATTACTCATATAACTATCTTATTTAATTCTCAAAATTGCACTATTATTATTACTCCTATTTTAAAGCTAAATAAGTTGGTGTCAAAGAGAATTAGTAATTTGTACAAGGTCACACAGATGGTGAACACTATAGTTGAGGTTAATTGGTCAGTCTTAATCTGTTCTATAAAGCTAATAATTCCTACCAATATATTCTAAGTGTCCTTTTAAGTCATAAAGGTTTTTACTACCATAAATGGCATCTAAACCTAAAATCATGGGAGATAAATGAAATAAGACTTCAAATTACAATCTAAGTATCTTCAGCTTATTAATGATGCAGTCATAAATAGAATGAAATTAATCAAGAACAAGGGGATGAGTTCTTAATATTGTGGGGAAAACATGAATTAAAGCTATCTGTCACATATATGCTGTAGTGACTAAAGGATAACTAAAACTGGACCAGTGGGGTGGCTCAGCTGCTAAAGACTTGCTGCAAAGACTTAGAACCTGAGCTGGAGCCCTGGGACCCACATGGTAGAAGGAGAGAATCAGCTCCTGCATGTTACCTTCTGACAGCCACATGTGCACCACAGTACACATGCACCACACCCGCCAGAAATAAATGTAAAACAAAGATAGATAGTTAATTGAAACAACATTTGGTACATAGACAAGTTAAGAGGTTATTTTCAACAGAAATTTGATGGGCTATTAATGGAAGAATAGAATCTATGGAACTACTTCTCTGTTTCAAATCAGTCAAGTTCTAGTATATTTTTAAAAAATACTCCAGTGGTTGGCTATATACTAAACTAAGAAAAGATATAAAAAATTCAGTGGGGAAAAAGATTTAGAAACAGTGACTTAGCAAAGTATTTAAAGATTAAATGAGGATGTTCCTTCTCCCATGAAAAATTGGCAGATGGGTGCTGGTGGCTCTGGACACTTACCTTGCAGCTCTTCTCAAACACAAAGCAGCTTGATCAGCAGCTCCTTAATTCGGGTATGTCTGTACCAGAAATCTAGTGAGCACATACTAACACTATGCTGTTACTGTGTGGCAGGGTTGTTACAATAAAAGACCCAGAGACTGATACTGGGGTTCAAACTTCAAGCTGAAGATCAGAAAAGCAAAGCAGCCGGCCACTAGCTCTCACCTCTAGCTCAGGTTGAAAGGGTTGATCCTGTCTCCATGAGTTCTCACCAAGCCTCAAACTGCTGCCTCTCCTCGGTTTGGCTGGAGAATGAGTCCTTCTCTGAGATCTTGCTTTTGTCTTACATACTTCCCTAATGTTGGGATTAAAGGTGTGAGCTGTTTCTCTTTTAGACTGATTCACTTGTGTGTGTATCTGGGTGGCTGGCCTTGAACACACAAAGATCCAGCTACCTCTTAATCCTGAGTCCTAGGATTAAAGGTGTATACCACCACCTCCTAGCTTCTTGCTGTTGGGATTAAAGTTGTGTGCCTGACTTTTATGGTTTACAGCTGACTTTGCTTTTCTGAATCCTCAGTCAAGCTTTAATAAATCATAAATAATATATCATTACACAGGGGCAGTACAGCTGCTTGGGAATTGTGATCAGGATTTGATGCCCCCAAATTTTTCCAATTAAACACAAGAATTGATTTTGATTCTCAGAAAAGAAAACAACTAAGCTGTACTTTTTTTTTTTTTTTTTTAAACATTTACAGTATCCTTTAGTTACAGAAAGCATCACTCTAGGTCAGGCTTGCAGAGTAGGTGTGTTTACTGAAGACCTTAGGTCTATGAGCTGAATGAAAACTAGAAAACTCAAAGCCTAACTACAGTATCTATACATGAAATTCTCACCTCTCCTTACATTTTAAAGAGGCTATTTTTTTTACTTCTCTTTATTTTCACCTACTTGAGACTTTATTTTTTATGAATGTAAAAAAGTTAGAAGACTGCCTGTATGTTTTTAAAAAGGATTGTCAGCTTCTATATAGGTAAACATTCCCTTAATGACAATGTACTTAATTTCAGTCTTGATGATGGTAGTCTTAAGGATTCAGGCATTATGCTGGCCTTCTCCTGTCACTGGGCAGAATGCACTCAGGCAGTATCCTGGTCAACATGCAGATCCAAAGAACCCCTTTAAGAGAAAGACCCCTGCTCACTTGCACTCTCTTCCCTCGGCTCTACCCCCGCCCCCACTCCCCACCCGCTTTCCTGCTGTTTCCCTGGGGCAGACAGGACATTTCCTGTCTCCCTCTTCCCTTCTGTCCTCTCTGTGTCTCTTTACCTCTTTCCTTCCCCGCCCCTCCCCTTTCTAATAAAACTTCTCACTAAGCTCTGTGTGTCTGGCATGTTTATCCCCCACTTGGTCACCCTCATCTGCCATGGAACCCACCAAGATTCCCCTTTAGCTTTATTGAAAAAGGAGTTCTTAATTGGTCTATATACTAAAAAGCCACAGTCAGATATAGAGGGAAATGCTGAGAGATTAGAGAGAAGGAGCAAACCACAGCACACATTACCTACTTATAGAGAGAAGGAACAAACATAGCACACCTTACCTCCTTAGTGTCTCAGCAGAGAAGATGGTGATTTCTTGTTTCTCCCTGCTTATATCCTGTTTCTGCCCAGCCACATCACTTCCTGTGTGTCTGTACAGACCTCCAGACCTCTATGGTTAGCTAATGGCAAGCTCCATTCTCTGACCCCCAGATAGGCTATATTTGTGCAAGAAAGATACCACCACATAACAGTCTCATCTACAACTTTTATTCATCTGAAAATAACTGCATTTGCCAGAAGAGCACCTTGAAGCTGGGGGAAACCTTATGATGCTGTAGACTGATAAAATAAAATTCTGGGTGGGATATAATGTGATGGCTCTCTAAGATTCACTTGCGTCTCTTGAGCCCTTAGAGAGGACAATGCTGAAGTTTTAAATTAGTAAATAAATGGTACAAATAAGTCTAAAATGAATAGAAAATGATTAAACCTCAAAATATATTTCATATTTTTAGTTATATGTTTTCAAGATAGATGCAACAGACTGATTTTCAAATGTGAGTAGTTAATTTCTGCTACATAAGCCCTCATTTTGTATCTATGGATTTAATATGTCCTTAGTCTATATAACACTGGTGGGGCATAAGCACTTTAACAATTTCTGACATGTAACAGTCCTAAAGAAAAGAAGGAAGTGAGAAGACAAGAAGTAGACAAGTTAACAAGAACTCTTTCTCACTAAAATACAATATGATTCTACTTGACTTTATAAAGTTAAAAAGCAGAAAACTCATTATACAAATATTTCATTGCTTGCCTCCAAAAAATTGTTGACATCCTCTGTGGCCATCTGCCAAGGTGGTCCTTCCTCTGTGCTTGATAGATTTAGAAGAGTTTCTGGGTTCTGTGGGTTGACGGAAGAAAATACTCTGTGCTCTTGATATCTTGTATTTATTTTCTTGGCTCTGTTAAAAAGCAAACAAGGCTAAATTTACCAAATTTGAACCATTATTTTGTACAGGATATTCACATTTAAATCTAACTTAAACTTTTTATGAAATTTGCTTAGAATCATATAATTTGAGCTTTAAACACAAATTATGTGCTAATAATATGTGTAATAAGGAACCGCATGAATAAGGTGACATGACTCCCATGCTTCCCACTAAGGGAAACCAACTCCATCTGCCTCCATTTGGATCCAAATACAGGTGAGTTCAACCTGGATCAGATGTCCTGCTGCTTTCACTCAAATACCTGGGCAAAAACTAAGTGCTTATTGAGGGAAGGCAGTAATTTTTAGTTGTTTGTTCTACAGATGCTCCCTCTATTAATACAGATAATGAAAATGAATGGCAGAAATTACCTTGTATAAACTTCCACAAAGATCTAGTTGAGACAGCTGGGATATGAAACAGATCAGGTCTGGTTTAAGAATCTATATTTTAACAGTTATGCTAGAGTCCTATAACACTATACTGTATAGATTTTTTGATATTAAGTTATGTATAAATATGATAATGACATATATTTAAATTTATAGTTAATAAGACTGCCAAAGGACAAAGTTATTGTTCAGTTTGGGGTAAAATATTTTTTATCTTGAGAAATTAGTAAATATAAAATATACTACATTTTTAGAGTCATTCACAGTAATAGACATCTTTGGGATTGCTTCCCAGACTACCCTAACATTAAATGCTGACCCTTAATGCTGACAAGGCAAGTCACAAATCTACTCCTGGTCCTGGACAGAAATTAAGTTTTATTTAAGATATTATAATAATAAAGGTAAAAATGTTTGCTGTGTGATCATTAACATATCTAGCTTTCAATAGTTACATACAAGCAATTCAAAACATGTAATCCAAGTTGTACTAATAATCATCCAATTATGTATTTTTGAAAAATACAAACATGACTGATTTTTAGCTAAGACAAAAAGTTCTATAGATTCTGCTCCTCCATTAATAGCCCATCAAACTTCTGGTTGAAAATAACCTACTAACTTGTCTATGTACCAAATGTTGTTTCAATTAACTATCTATATTTGTTTTACATTTATTTCTGGCGGGTGTGGTGCATGTGTACTGTGGTGCACATGTGGCTGTCAGAAGGTAACATGCAGGAGCTGATTCTCTCCTTCTACCATGTGGGTCCCAGGGCTCCAGCTCAGGTTCTAAGTCTTTGCAGCAAGTCTTTAGCAGCTGAGCCACCCCACTGGTCCAGTTTTAGTTATCCTTTAGTCACTACAGCATATATGTGACAGATAGCTTTAATTCATGTTTTCCCCACAATATTAAGAACTCATCCCCTTGTTCTTGATTAATTTCATTCTATTTATGACTGCATCATTAATAAGCTGAAGATACTTAGATTGTAATTTGAAGTCTTATTTCATTTATCTCCCATGATTTTAGGATTAGCTGCCATTTATAGTAGTGGTCAGAGTAAATTAAGAAAATATGTAAATAGTGGATAAAGTAAAATTCTGAGAAAACCAATAATCACAGCAACAGTGACTCAGTAAAGTATTTAAAGGTTAAACAAAGACATTCCTGCTCCACTGAACCTCTGGGTGGATGGCTCCAGGTAGTTCACGAGGTTCAGGTATATCTGTGCTGGAAGGCAGCCATGGCAAATTCACTCTTCATGGTCTCACAAAGCTCAGTGACCACACATGGACACTGTTTAGAACAAGGAGGCAAGGACTATGAAATTGGTTTGGTTGTGTTGACCAGGTTTGGAAATCCAAAAAGTTCACCAAGAACTGTAGAATATTTTCAAATAGGATACATATGTATATGATGACAAAGTATATTTACATTAAAAAAGTAAAAACACAGATTGTACACCCAGACCAACCCAAGTATACATCATGAACCCTGATGTCTTCTTTCTTTCTGGCATATTTCCAATTCTCCAGATGCTTTGCATGTTTGAAGTGTGAGAGCAACTGTCAAAGTCTGTAGGGTGGCACCCTATCCACTTTGCTTCGGGTCTATTGATTAGGAAAACTATTTACCCAAAACTCAGAGGGAAAGGCAAGCTCATCTTTGCTCCATAACCTTGTTTTCAGTCCCAGTGTTTAACAATGACTGAAAGCTGTAGAGAAAGAACTTTTAATTCTTCACTAAACATAGGTAGTGATTTATCACCCCCAGGTGTCCAGATATTCTGTGTTTACATATACTCCCTGAAAGCAGCTTCTGTAGGGAATTCAGGTACCAAATAAATGAAGGTATTCAGGAACGTGTAGAACTACTCATTCACCATCTTAAACTACTGCCTCTTATATCATGCCTGGCACTGCATTCAGATATATCCTCATCAGATGCATACTACGCTATGGATTATATGCTACTGATTACTTATTAGAAATTATTCACATCTCTCTCTCTCTCTGTCTCTGTCTCTCTCTCTCTCTCTCTCACACACACACACACACACACAGAGTAGTTTTTCACATTTCTCAATTTTCATGCAAAATTTTTATATATTTATTATAAAATAAATATATGTAATATGTAAAAACACACATATTTTTAAAGGAAATATTCCCATTTGGGCTGACAATACCCTCTCCCTTGTAAGAGTTGAAGACCATCTAACAGAAAACCTTAATACCAGGTATGTATGATAAACTCTCTTTTGAACTATTGGTCAGGGCTGCCCAAGAGACTCTGAACCATTATAAGCTATTGCTATTGCCTTTTGTTATCGCCCAGAGGTGGAAGCTAGGTCCCTATTGTTGAAGACAAAATGTACTTCAGGTGCAGGGCCCAGAAATCTATGAGCTGGAATTGACCTGAAAGACGCCCTGAGGACTAACTTTCAAGGTACCAAAAGGCTCAATGGAAACTTCCAAAGGAAGGAAGCAACCAACAGTTCTACATTGCTAGGGCACTTATGTACCACAACAACCAGCATGGCCCAGTAACCTTAAGAGTGCAGTAATGGTATACATACCTAGGTAGTAACCCAAACATCTCTAATTGGACTTAAATTCCACTCAACAAGAGGAAAACCATGCCTGAAACAGCCAACTACCCAGAGCTAGTAAAGCCATGACTTTTGGTGGGAGAATCTACAAGCTCCATTTTCTTAAACCAGAACAATCCCTAACTGCATTCTAAATAATTGTCATTATACTAACAGGTAGGTATAGTTCTCACCCCTTATCAAGGAAACTTTTCTTTGTAATAGACAGACACCATTACAGAAAAACACAACTAATCAAAATGCAGACTTTTGGAACCTATCCCAGTGCAAATGTCTAAGGCTTAGGGAACATTGCAGAAGAGGGGAAAGAAAAACTGTAAGAAATAGTCTCTCCAGAGCAGAGCACTGAAAAAACACATACAAGTAATGTTATATAGACCAAACAGATTAGGAACACACACACACACACACACACACACACACACACACCAATTATTAATGAAAAACAAACAAGAAGCCATGAATTTGAAAAAGAGCAAGGAAGGGTATATGGGAAGGTTAGAGAGAGGAAAGGCAAAGGGGGAAATGATGTAATTATCAAAAAACAAAAGTAGCACCTTTTCTCTATCCATTCTTCAGTTGAGGGGCATCTAGGTTGCTTTCAGGTTCTGCTTATTAAAAACAACATTACTATGGACATGTTTGAACTTATGTCCTTGTATGAATGTGCATTCTTTGAGTATATGCCCAAGAGAGGAATTGCTGATTCCCATTTTCCTGAGAAACCACCATACTGATTTCCAAAGTGGTCATACAAGTTTGCACTCCCACCAGCAATGAAGGAGTATTCCTTTTTCTCCACATCTTCTCCAGCATAGACTGTCATTGGTGTTATTGATTTTAGCCATTGTGGTCAGTATAAGATGGTTATCTCAGAGTTGTTTTGAGTTGCATTTCCCAGATGGCTAAGGATGTTGAGCACTTTCTTAATTGTCTTTCAGCCATTTTAGATTCCTCTGTTGAGAATTCTCTATTTAGTTCTGCACCCCACATTTTAATTTCATTATTTGGCATTTTGGTGGCTAACTTCCTGAGTTCATTGTATATTTTGAATATCAGCTCTCTGTCAGATGTGGGGTTGGTGAAGATCTTTTCCCATTCTGTAGGCTGCTGTTTTGTCTTGCTGACTGTGTCCTTTGCCTTACAGAAGCTTCTCAGTTTCAGGAGGTCCCATTTATTAATTGTCGACCTCAATGTCTGTGCTACTCGGTGTTATCTTCAGGAAGTGGTCTCCTATACCAATTTGTTCAAGGGTACCTCCCACTTTCTCTTCTAAGAGGTTCACTGTGGATGGATTTATATTGAAGTCTTTGATCCATTTGGAATTAAGTTTTGTGCATGGTGACAGACATGGATCTATCTGCAATCTTCTACATGTCTGAATCCAGTTATGCCAGCACCATTTGTTGAAGATGCTTTTTTCCCCCCATTGTATAAATTTAGCTTCTCTGTCAAAAATCAGGTGTTTATAGGTGTGTGGGTTAATGTGGTAAATTTACACAATGGAGTACTACTCAGCAGAAAAAAGCAATGGAATCTTGAAATTCACAGGCATATGGATGGAACTAGAAGAAACCATGCCGAGTGAGGTAACCCAGTCATAAAAAACAACAACAACAACAAAAACAAACATGGTATGTACTCACTCATATATGAATTTTAGACATAGAGCAAAGGATTACCAGCCTATAATCCACATCACCAAAGGAACTAACTAGAAAACAAGGAGGGCCCCAAGAAAAGAATGCATGGCCCCCTGGAGAAGGGGACAGGATCTCCTGAGCTAATTGGGAGTATGGGGTTCGGGGAGAGGGAAGAAAGAGAGGGGGAGAAGAGGAGGGGAGAAGAGAAAATAGGGGAGTAGGAAGGTTGAGTTGGGGGAAGAATAGCGGAGAGCAGGATGTTAGATACCATAATAGAGGGAGCCATTATAGGTTCGGGGAGAGATCTGGCACTAGGAACA